AGCCTGGGAACACACGGAGGTCCCCAGGAGCCCTGGGAATGCCGGCAGCCAGCCCCGGGCCAAGGCAGGAAGCGTTCAACCAGAAACATCAAGTTAACACATTTTTCCAGCGTGACCAGGGGAGGCTGCAGCCAAGCAGCCAAGCCCGGCTTGCAAGGGGAGCTCCGGGACAGCGCAGCGTCCAGGCTGGACAACTGCCCAGCACACCTCCTGCGGCTCTCCTGGCCTTGGGTCTACCCTCCAGACACTGGTGCACTCAGGGGGATCAGCCCCTGGCCAGAGCTGGGCTACTTGGACCCTTTCATGTCCCTCTGTCCAGTCCTCACGGCCAGCAGCTGAGCAGACAAGGTCACACAAGAGGCTCCTGCCACTCCAGTAGCAGAGAGGCCAGGACTTGGTATGCACATCCCGTGGGGTGAGGTGACACTCTCAGACCAAGAAGGTACCAGATGGGTTTTTGCTGGCTTCTAGGACCAGGCTCTACCCCAGCTAGAAGTACCCCGATCTCAGCTCACAGTCCAAAGCAGGAATCTCCCTGCCCAGCCATCGCTGTCTCAGGAGACAGATGTGACCCTCCCATCTACACCCTCCCCGAGCCCCAGGCAGGGGTCACAGCACTCCACAAGGCACAGTCCTCAGCCAGTCCTGCTCCCCTACAGACCCATAGCCTACCTCTGCCCATCCTGGAGACCCCACAGCAGCTGCTCAGGGAGACCCCTGGAGTCAAGGTGGGGCAGGAGCATGTCTGCCAAGTGCCCCTTCTCCCAGCACTCACCCAGGGGGAAGGTGATCTGGTCACACATGCCTAGCAGCTGCCCAAAGCACACCTTCTTCTCCGAGGGATGGATCCCAAGCTCCATCATCCTGCAAGCCAAGCCTTAGCGTTAGGGAAGAGCAGGGACAGTGGAGCAGGCAGGGGCTGCACGTCCCACCAGAGGAGTGAAAATCATCTCCAAATACAAAAGCGTGGCAAAGACCACATCCCAGATAGATGCTGGGACACAGACTTCAGGGATTTGTTTTTAAAACATCCTCCGGGTTGGGGAATGGGGCCAACTCTGCAATCACTGTGGGCTACCATGCTACAACCCCATCTCCAAGCCCTAGCTGAAGGCCCAAGCACCAGATGGGAGCGAGGATCCCACTGGGTTGGACTGGAGCAGATCTGACAAGCCAGACCACATCTCACCACGACTCTGCTGGGTCCCTACACCCCCCCGCCCCGAGCCCCCAGCCCCAGCCACGCCATGCTGCCTCCCCAGCACCCACCTGCGCAGGGTGAACTTCACCGTGTCCTCGTTGTGAGAAGCCACCATCACGTTGGCTTTCCGGCTGTGCTTGATCTCCTCCAGGATATAGTCCAGGCACCTATAAGAGGATACAGGGCTGTGTGGTGAGTGCCTGCTGGGGCAGAAGGGAGGAGCATGGCTTGTAGGCACCACGGACCAGCTTGGTGCCAAAGTGCCAGCCCTCCCTGCGTGACAGCTCCACGTCCACCGTCAGGTTGTCGTAGGCCTCCTGGGATCGGGCAGAAGAGGTGGCACAAGGTCACCACACCAGCACCAGCCTCTGCCCCCTGCCTTCAAGGAGCCGGCCCGGGAGACACACTGTCGTGCCGCCACAGCCTCAGGAGCCAGGGTCTCCATCCAGCTGCCCCGGCAGGGGC